ATGGATGGTTGGTTATGTGGTTTCACAGTTGTTGTTATTGTATGTGACTGTCTTTTTAGAGACTACTTCGACGGTTTCACTCACCTGGCGTTTGTGAGGCTGAACTACAACCAGCTGAGTGATAAAGGAGTTCCCAAAGCAGTGTTCAACGTGTCAACCCTACTGGACCTGCAGCTGGCCCACAACCAACTCGCCTCGGTTCCCCTCTTCAACGGGCACCTGGAGCACCTTCACCTCAACCACAACAGCATTGAGAGTAAGTCTTCTTTTTGTTGTACCTCACAGAATCATCTGTAGTTTGCTTTTGGAAGCATCTTAGCTGAATGCTCACATTTAGCTAGAGTAGCTGCAGTACATATAGACAGTTTTTGTAACTGTGAAGTGATGGAAATCCAAGCCATTTGCGATTGATGCGTGTGATTTTCCAGCTTCGTGCATTTCAGAAATTCTTGATCATAAGCCTTCAGAGGTTTATTTTTGTGAGGCATGCTTCTTGTAAAAAGCAAACTCAAACAAAAGTCAGAGCAGCACTCATCCACATCTGCAATCTGGATTCACTGAGTGAACTGTTTGCCGACTCCTGACTCAGGATAGCTTTTATTGATGTCATTAGCCCAGTGATTCACAAACACAGCCTATAAAACGTGTTGGACCCCCATGGATGTTTTATTGCTGTTTAACATTGAATCATGGTCAATTTAATTTGCTTTTTTGGACAAGAATATCGAAAAAAGATTATTTCATGTCAAAGTGAAATCAGCACTAAGTCATGCTAACTAATAAAAATAAATAAAATAAGTGACTGCATGGTATTCACCCCGTTCAAGACAGTATTTAGTAGACTAACTTTTGCTTAATTAGCACCAAGCCCGTGTGGATGAGTGTCAACCAGCCGTGCACATCTGGACACTGCTTTTAAATAACTTCCTCACTGAGTTGCTTGAAGTGTTGAGTCTTCATGGAGTAGTTAGAGCCAACAGTACTAAGTCGTTACTAACAGGACCTTCCAGATACAGGTGTCTTCACATTACAATACCTTGAGACACATTCATTGCGCTCAGATGGTTTCCATTTCACTAATTGTGTGACTTCTAACACCAGTTTGCTGCACCTGTGTTGAATTAGGTGAGTCACTTTGAAGAGGGTAAATACTTATGCAGTCACTCGTTTTATGCTTTTTAATTAATTGATATTACTTTGTGGAAACCTGTTTTCACTTTGACATGAACGAGTCTTTTTGTTTTTTTTCTTTTTGTACATTCTAGTCAAAAAAAACTGAATTGTACTGACCAGATATGATTCTTCCAAGAGAGGTGAAGACTTACTATTTTCCACATAAACGTAGACAGTTCAAAAAGGTTGACTTACTACTTCTTGCTACTGAATTTCAGGCAGCCAGTAGTTGTTTTGTCTCTCTCATGAATTTGTTTGTGTTGACAGTAAAGCAAAGCGAGTTTTTTGCTGACAGGGACAACGGAGCTTAACTTCAGGCTTCCAGAGGCAATAATATTTTTTAAATCACCCTTCAGAAGTTAATCCTCATGTGACGTGTTCCATAATAATTGCCTTTAATTCGTGCCTTCTTCATGTCTTGTCTGTAATTTATTTATCCTTATTATCCCTGTTCCTGCTGTGCTTCCTGACCCCATTTGTTTCTTTTAATGATTTGTTTCTTTCAATGGTTTGAAAGCACTTTAGACTCTGTTTTTAAAAATTGCGGAATAAATTACCATCATTAAATCATTAGTACAATTAACAATCACCACTAAACTCGTAGCTTTTCTTAATTCATCCTTGTGTGAAAGCTTGAAGACTAGATATTCACGGATGTGTTTTCTTAACAGGCATCAATGGCACCCAGCTCTGCCCTTACAGCCTGCATGCCGACCTGAGTGATTACAGCGTGGTGCCCAGGCTAAGGTACGGCACATTATGTCACATCTTGGCACTCAACAACGAGAATTGGCACAAGTTGCACAGGACAAAAAAACAAACAAACAAAAAAGAATTACGTCAACAACAAATGAGTTTTGAAAATCCAATCATTGTGATGGCATGTTAAGCACATGTTTTGTTGCCTCAGGTACCTGCGTTTGGACGGAAATCACCTGAATCCACCCATCCCTCTGGATGTCATCATGTGCTTCAGGCACCTCCACTCTATTGTCATTTAGGAGAAACGTGCCTACAGGCCTGCAGGCTTCCGCACACGCACAAACCACACACACGTACATGCAAACATACAAACGCAGAGTCACTGGGTATAAAGTGAATTCAAGACAACACACAATGGTCAGTGAAGTTTATCCAGCCGTACATGCTGCGTAGCTGAAAGAGTGACTCCAAATATCTGTAAAGCTTTGATAGTTCAAGCTTTTTTAACTTTGATAGTTTCATTGTTGTCAGAGAATCCAACTACGAATCTGCAAAAAAAAATGGATGTAGCAACATTTAGGGTTAGGTTTTTGTAAGAGTTTCAGTTTATCAGTCATATTTTGTCTACAAAAATGCAATGCATCGAATATATATAAAAAAAAAAGAAAAAAAAAAGCCAGAAAATACAGGTACATTGACAGACAGACAGACAGATATAAAAGGTAGTTATGCTTGCTGGCAGTTGTGATCGGAACAAAGCAGCCGCCAGTGACGACAAACAGACCTGCAGTGGATGTCAAAAGACCCAATTTAAAACATAACTACCATGTAGTTGAAACTGTCCCAAATGTGCCTGTGATTTTCAGGGTACTTCATGTAAAAATGTCATTTTATTCTTTTTATTCTTAGTCTTCTGTATATTATTATTATTCTGTATAAAGAAGCTTTGTACAAATAATGGTAAATAAAACGTTTTCTTGGATCTCATTTGATCATGTTTGATGTTTAATTGAAATTAGAAAAAGATCTATTTATTTTTACTTTGACTCATCCCTCTCACATCACTTCACCTTTCTAATGCTGGATGCTCCACTGGCATCAACAGTAACAGGGTAACTGCAGTTTTTGTTTTTTGTTTTTTTGGGGGGGAGGGAATTAGGTATACAGAGCTGTGGAAAGTCTGGTTTAGCGTTGTTTTTACTCAAAATACTTTGGGATTTTTGACCAGCAGTAGAGCTATGGAGCCATGTTTTTACAAGAGGTTCCCTGTTTTGTTTGTATGATGTCAGTGCAGGAGGATGCACAGAGTTAGACACCTTGTGCTGGTGTAACGCTGTGAGGCTGATTCGCAAGGTTATATGGCTGTATGTTATTTTAAATTCATATTAACACATCTGAAATATATAAAATCAGCATGTAAAATCAGGGAATCGGCTGGTAGCCTGATGCTTCAGGCACATACAACATACAAAACAGCAGTGTCGAAGATTTGACTCCAGCTGGGCTCGTCCCTCCAAATATGTTTTAATGGACCGGCAGTTAAACCTTCCAATAAAATCTATGTTTAGATTCGTTGTGACTGATGTTCATATATGTTAAGCGGGGGCTGTCTGGCTTCATTTGTGTTAACCTGACATCACTGGTAGTCATAACTACAAATAGACGAGAGCTGCACAGTTATAATTTATCAAAAACAGAGAGAGAAAAATACATTATCAGTGAATAACAGTAGTTACAAGTGGACAAACATAACCTCAGACTGGCCACAGATTGGTTCCCAATGTGGGTCATAAAATAAATCTGAGGTGTCATGAGATAATTGACAAGACAGAACTGAAAAAATATATTTATTTCTGCTGCAGAAATGTCTGTTGTTTCTTTCACATTGTGAAATACTTTTAGTTTTAACTGTTCTGGTCTCTAAAAACTATTAAATCTGGAATAAAAATGTCATTTTTTTTGAAGAACTGTCTCCAAAGCATTGCCATGCAGCTTTTACAGACATTGCGCTGTTTGAAAACATCACACACAAAAAAGAAAGTTGGAAGACACTGGTCTTATTATCACAATCTTATGCTACCGTACTCTCTGGTGCTTCTGTTATTTTATTCACTCAGAGCCAGAAAACTGTAACTTTGTACCTAGCCTTTGTATTGAAGCAGTGATGGTGATTTATATGACCATAAATATCTTTGACCAGCAGATGAAATATTCTCCAGCTGCTGAGGCTTTTGACTTGAACCAGTAGAGGTTTAATCTTGTTCATGATGACCTCTAGTGGTTAACAAAACCACAGTCCACCAAACATGAAGCATTCCTGAGCTGTGAAGCGCTGTCAGGTATTTTTAGTACAGACGATGACATCTGCATACGTCCTAGAGGGAAAGATTTGGAAATTTTGCACTTCCCTGTCAACAGTTATGTTGCTATACTGTGCTACTGACTAACCTCATATTATTCCATTAATGCAGGTTATTCCTGTTTCCGTTGGACTTCCCTGCTCTCTATTCCTTCCAAGCAGGTGAGCAGGTCTGATGGGTGCTTCCGATCAGCACTCGTCTGACAGGAGTAATGTCACTCCCTGTGAGAGGGTTCCTCAAGGGAAAGAAGTTGGGCAACGTCTTGTACTGCGCTGAAGGAGATGTACAACATTTAAGAGAAGACGTGGGGATCAGTTGGAGGTCAACAAGAAACAAGAAACAAACTGGTGCAACAATCAATCAAACAGTTTGATAGTAGTGCAAAACACTTTTCTCAACACATCTTCCACCTACAATAACAAGCAGTAAGGCCTTTTTGAAAGCTTACTAATAGGAACCGTGCAGTTGCAGAGGAATGATGACACTCTGATCTGATGAGTGACGTCACTAAATAATTACACAACACATCCCTCACCGCAAAGGTGTTTCTCTACACATCAGAGAGGAGGAAATCCTTAATCATTTCTTTTCCGCTTCTTCCATTCAGGTATTGAGACATCAGTGGGCAGTTCCTTTAATTGCAACAAACTTCCTTCTCCTGTAAGCCAATTTGTGCACGTGTACGTGTGCATGTTCATGAATGTGTGTGTGTGTGTGTGTCTGTGCATGCTGTTCAATACCTGGTGAAAAATCCCCCTCACTCCACTATAAGAGGAGACAGCATGGAGACACAGAGACACATCACTCCCAGGACTCCTGATCTGATTAACACACTGACAGGTGAGTTTAAACAGGTGTTCTGGTCACAGTGATGGGGGATGATACTTGTCTGTCGGATGGACTGAGCATAATGTAGCCTTGATGGTGGAGCAAGATTAGAAGGGTTAGAGAATACATTGGAATATCAGAAGTATAGTTTAAGTGCTGAAAGGTACTTTAAAACGCATGCCATGAGTTATGGATGAAGAATTGCATGTGTCTTAGGTTTAGTAAAAGAAAAAGCTGCTTATTTTATTGTTGATTACTCATTTATTGATCAAAACACTAAACGTTTGCTTTTGAAGTCTGTAGATTTTTGCTGCCTTTGTTAATTTATTTATTTATTTTTTTGCTACTTTATGGACAAGTCCTCAATTGATCGAGCATATGTTAAACAGACCAATCAGCGATCAAGTTTATTTTTAGCTGCACCCATACCTGCTTAAAAAATGATTCTCAGGAATTTTTATGAAAAGATTTTCACAAACAAAATGTCTGTGTTAGTTTTGCCTCCAGGTAAACATGGTGATGAAGATGCTGCTCGGCTGCTCCGTCTCTCTGCTCCTGCTGCTCGTCTGTCTGACTGAACCTGTGGAGAGTCGAACTCTGCATCTGGACAGCTGCTCTGTCAATGTTCACATGCATGAGCTGCGCAAATATTACTCTGACATACGATCAAATGCGGTGAGTTTAATACACAGACATTCCTTGAAAACCTACAGTCGTCCTCAAATGTATTCATACCCTCCCATTAAAGAAGGGGGGGAAAAAACAGTAAATAATAATAATAAATAACAAATTTAATGAAAATCATGACATTGCTTTTCAATTGTGGTTCAACAGAAATATATATATATGTATAACACAAACAAACAAACAAAAAAGAAAACAAGCATGATGGGACCCATGAACTAATATTTTGTTGAACAAGCCTTTGAGGTAATCACCGCAATCGAGTGTTTTCTGTAACTCTCAATCAGTTTCTAGTTATTTAAGTGACTATTGTGAATTTAGCCTTTTCTTTAATGGAAGGGTATCAGTAAATTTGAGGATGACTGTAAATCTCTATATAAACCAATGCAACTCTTCATGAAGAATAACATGTAGATTCAAGCAAGCAACAAATACAAATCAAATGTAACAACAAATACTTTTTATGGCACTTTTAAGTGGAAGGGAACTTGCAGACAGTGATTCTAACTCGATCTTTTGTGGGGTTTTTTACACAACAGATATCAGAAGACAGTGAGATCGGAGTGAAACTTCTGGATAAATCCTTAATGACAACTGTTCAGGTGAGGTTTAGTGTTGTTTTTCCTGTTAGTGATGATCATATGCTGTTACATTTATTATATTTGTTTAATTCAAGTTGTTCAGACTATGCATATGAGCATCATAGGAGTGTTTGGAAGGTGCTGTATTCTGACCTTCGTATATCTCTTTCAGGAGGGTCAGAGGTGCTGCTTCTTACGTCTGCTGCTGCGTTTCTACGTGGAGAGAGTGTTCAGCAACTACGCCTCCTCTCAGCCTCAGCAGCAGCGCTGCTCCAGCGCTCTGGCCAACGCTTTTGTCAGCATCAGAAGAGATATCCATAAATGTGTAAGTTCATTTTTCAATACGTTTGTTGTTCAGCATGTGAAAAAACATGTGCTTTGATTAAAAGCAGCCACAAGCTTTACTGATGTTTGTGTTCTGCTCTGTTCAGCACTGCCTCTGTGAGGAAGATACCCAGAGAAAAATAGACTCCGTGCATGCTGAGTTTGACAAGGTATGTAGAATAAAGACAAAAACCACCCACTGTAGACAGTCAACCTTTTCTCACAGCTCACATTCTCACAATGAACTGCAGTAGGTGCTAAGCAGTAAACCTCAGGATCAATTTAAATCAGTCATTCAAATTGTGTCTTAAGCAAAAAACAAGTTATCTGCAAAACACAGCATCCACTGATGTGGACATTTAGTCTTGTTACAAATAATGTAACAGTCACATGGAGGGTGATAGGGGTTAAAAGATTATCAGAGGTTTCTTTTCAAAAGGGCGCTTTATATCTACTTTATTTTATTTTATTTTATTTTCGTTTGTTTTGGCTATTAATAGGAAACCTCTTTCTCCAAAATTCAACAGTATGAATAAACAGGGCAGAATCCTTAAACGGAGTAAACAAAATGGGTTTGGAAGACACTTGTTCTAGCTCCTTTGACCAAATCCTACTGACACTGAAAACTAATTCTGTCATGTGTGTCATGTTCATCACTTAACCTATTTTTCTACTTTCCTTCTCTCTCCATTCGTCTCTGCTTCACGCTGAGCAGCTCCAGGTCGGCCAGGCAGCCCAGAAGGCGGTGGGGGAGCTGGACACTGTGCTAGAGTGGCTGGAGGGACAGAGAACACAAACATAATCTGAATTCATACACTGATATTGGCAAATCTGTCAATTTCATTTTTTTTTTTTTGTGCCATTTTGCATTTCTCTATTTGTACTTGAATTAACTTATCATGTCTTTTTTTTTCATCCACTAACACGTGGACTGATATTTTTATTAGAATATTTATGCTTACTACAACATGTATATTTATCAGAAAATGAAAGCTTTTATGGTATTATATGTGTGTGTCAACTGTAAGGAAATTATGCAGCTTAACAAATGACTACATATTATTTTTATAATGTCAACATTGCTTTGATTTCAACATTAATAAAAACACTACTCTGACATAGTGCCTTGGAGTGTTGCCTCTCAATCAGTGATGTGTGTTCTGCATTACCATCTAGTGGTAATTGATGAAAATGCAGCGTCTTAGGCCAACACAAGACAGAATGGATCACTGTGTATGTGTGTTATCTCCCCGGTTGTGCTGTAAAGCAGTATTTAAAGTGTATCTCACAGATCCCTGTGGTCTGCTGTTCCACAACAGTCCAGCTGTTAGAGTATCTGCAGGACAATGTTAGGACCAACAGACATTTAGAAACTGACATGACATGAATACTAGGGCATTAATTCATGTACAAATTTTACAAATGTGTGGCCGAATCCCTACAGATGGTTCATATAAAAATCTGTCCTTATTGTTGAGACTCATAATTATAATGTCCTGTATCTGACACTGACCAGATAAGTGTTTACAAT